CAATAGTTTGAATAACACCGTGTGAAGAGGAGCACTGGTAAACGCGCGTATTTCGCATTGTCTTCTGTTCCAATACAATAACTAGAAATTATATTATATCATTCGAAGGGTGTTACCGACCAAGCAAATGCAGTGAAAGGAACGGCGGAAATCCTTCTAAGACCAAGGCATCCGTAGGTCAGTAACTGAATGTTTCTGCACACACAGAGCAGGTCTTAGCTGGCTTGCAGTTACGACTTCGGCCAACAGCAAGAGGCATGGATTGGGGTGACGGAGTCTTCGAAATGCGGAGCCGTGATCAACCTGATAAAGGGTCAATAAAACATGTCTGCTTATCGATGATACAGCCCCTTGGTATGCACACAAAATATTAGGCGAGGGATGGCTGACCTCACGATGAACCCATTTGACTAAGTGTTTCTTAACTTTGGCATTCAAAACATTCCACTTCTTGTCTATCTACCTGATGCCTCAGGTATAATAGAATTGGTAAGTACAGTGTGATCTGGCGCTGATGGGCTCCACATCGTTTAATGAAAGTAGCGACAATTTCCTAATTTTCTTGCTCACCACAGCATCTGAAACGCAGTAGGTTCTATGAGTGGCGGAGATTAAGAGCTTGGTTACTTTCATTGAAACGGTGTTACCCTTTAATGGGTGCTCTAGGTACACATTTTTCTCAGTTGCTATCAACACCATTTCTTTCCGCGGTCTGAATTGTCTATGCTTCTCGTACAGACGATTACGCAGAAAGATTTTCCATTCATTTACTAGGCAACAAGTGACGAGGGTTAGTATGTTCCGTGTGACAAATGCAAACCCGATTTACCTATGGCCCACGGTGGCACATCAGGTATCATAAAACGATTTTAATCATTTCGTTAGAAGGTAGCAGTGTTTGCGGCAGCATCTTCTACTCCTGAATTAATTATTTCCGATCAGCAACGTAGGGAAACATGGAAGCCAAGGTAGCAGCCGCAGAAGGTACCTTCTCTTATCACGCTGTGTTTCATAAGCACCTTTTACACTCCCGCGATTTGTCGTTCATTTTTTCGAGCCAATGATCTTCGTGCTTTGTGCAATGCGTGATTTTCAGTATCCGCGAAGAATGGATATTGCCTGGAAATACAGTCCTGGGTTAATGGAACATTGCCTCATCAGTGAATATGTTAGAATGAAATTTTATGGTCCCGCCTGAAACTACTCGGGCAGCGTAACAACACTTGTTTTCTGCAACGGCGATCAATACTGCGACGGGAGAATAGGCTATGTGGCAGCATGCCGTCTATAGGTCGCGGAGCTTTTCAACTCACTTGTCTCAAAACGTCACATTTAATATTTGCAAGGCCAAATTGTAAGTAATGCTCATTTTACTAAGGTAAGTTATTGGAAGGTAACTTTCAGTCTACAAGAGCGTTGCGAATAACCCTTTTGTCATTAGCTGCAATAATACTAAGCACCTACTGCACACTCCTTGCTAAAGCAAGTTAAGACTGCGCAAGCGCTACCACATCTCTGTCGCAGTAACCGGGTAATGAGGCACTGCTATTTCGATTTTGCACACTTGTCTCCGTTCCAACTGGCCCGAAACACCGCACATATCGATCGGTGAACTTGCCCTGTGGAGTGTCGTAGGCTCACTCCAACTCAACCATCTGCGCCATCCAGCGTTCTCACAAGGCACGACACTGGCAAGTACCCATGTACCCATATGCATGCATACCAGTCGTTCTACACCCATGTGCCCGGGTGAGACATTGAACAACATCTACTGCTGGGTAGTTGGCAATTTAGTGCACTCTACTCATGCCCGAATGAGGGACGCTTTTTCTCGCATTGACAGAGTAGCAGACCGGAATTTCGGGACTTAACATGCAATGTGTCCGTGATCATTTGAAAAGAGTTATCACGCAGCTGCTTTTGGGGACGGCCAGATGAATGCTGGTGTAGTTGTGGATTTGGTTCCTAGGGGTTGATTTTCTATTGACCGTCGTTTCCAGTGAGTTTAAACCATTGCTTCGGATCCGAAGGTTTAAAGTGTGAGTTCTTTTTTCATATGTGTGCTACCTTGATAGATCCTCCATGAGATCAGCTTACACATTCTAGTTAGCAAGGTAATCCCCGTTTTAAAAAGCCTTGAAGCTGAAAACATTATTGATCACGTTTGTTTCTAAGCAGTCCATCTTATTAGAGACGCGGCTTTCCCGCTGCATCTTTTATCTTATCTTCAATGCAGCACTTACTGCATGAAAACGAAGAGTGATGTTGGTGTCCTTGACAACGTGGTTCCTCGCCTCCTGCCCAACATTTGCTCATTTTGATCCTAGGAAGCCCCTTGTTCTCCTATGGGAAGCTTTCCCATGTGGTGCTGGTTTTGGGCTGTGCCAACGAATGATCAGGCCTAGCTTGTGCCGCATAGTGTTTTCAGCATGTATACTGCAACCGATGGAAAAATTTATTACGAGCTAGACAGCGACCTCCTATCAGTCGTCTTCGGTGTGAAAAGTTTTCATCAGCTACCCTTGGAAGATGGTTAACTTTCACGCAGAACACCTACCGGTGAAAACATTGTCAGGAGTGACCATATGTATACAAGAAAACAAAGATGGACTCTAATGCTGGGTGCATTTGCTTAGCAGCATCCGGTTTCGTATTTGCCTGTCACTGTGGCCAGCCGTAGAACGCATGCGCCTACAGAGGGACCATGGATGTTTTGCGATGCACCACCCGCAACTCCATCTATGCACCATATATCCAGTGTAAACCCGAAGGAATAAGGCCGGGAGGCATGCGTATGGGTGCCACATTTTATCAAAGGAGCCGACCCACACTCGTTCACAGGCAAACACAAACACGCTGCATTTGGGTAATCAAGAGCACACAAGACGGTGGCTGGACCGTAGTCCGCTCCACACTGAGTGCATGGAACCACTCTTAGAGCATAGCACGATCACAAGGGCAGTGTAGTCAGTCTCCTCCAGTAAAGACTAACTGTCTCCTGGAGCCAGTATGGATGAGGTAGTGGGTAATAGACAGGCAGTCACCTTGTCAACCTGCACATCAATGGCAGTCACACCTGGGGTGTCAAACAACGGACAAGCATTCAAACTGCCGATATCAAATGCAGGATATCGAATAAAATGAACGTCTATGACGATATAAATACTCGCTAAAAGAGCATATGGAGTATATGGTTTACAAGTGAATCCGCGATAAGTAAAATAGTCTGTAAGTTTTTACTTAATACCATGTGATAAATTTACGTAACGTTTCCACAATTAGCATGAGCGACATGTGCAAGTTAGGAGAAGATTATCAGGTAGGCAGAACAAACCAAATAAAGTGGAATGAAATATATCCAGCTTAAAACTACCTAGTTTAAAGGTTGGTTGGTTTACGCCAACTGCCTTGAAGAAGCAGCATGAATGCAACATCAGCCTTGGCGTGGGGCACACAGACATATATATATATATGTATATATATATATGTATATATGAATATATGGTTAGCGACATTTGGTTTCGGATTTATCTGTCACTGTGGCAAGCCACATGGTTGGCGGCATCCGGTTTCGGACCTGCCTGTCACTGTGGCCAGCCACAGGATGCCTGCGTCCTATGCTGAGGCTGATGTTGCGTTCATGATGCTGGGTGCGTACAGCTCCATAATTACCTACATTTCTTGAGCCAACATTTGCGCTGCTGATGCCATTTTCCGTCTATTAGTTGCATGGACGTCCCTCCAACGATATCGTTCATGTGATTGGTTCATTTGTGGTAACACCATGATAAAATATTTATACGAAGCTACACAATTCGTCGGTGAAAACACGGTGGTCCACTCCTTTCAACTATCAAACAATTCATAACGGACCGCTGACCAGCTGAAATACCAGCAGACGTGTATCCAGTTAAATCACGAAGAAAGGAGCTGGGCTTATTCAATGATTGTGTGTTCTGGGGTTCCCGTTGGTCCCTCCAAGCAAGGATCGTACACAGACCTTTTTTTGACGCTCATCCAGAGATCTCGCAACTGAAAGCATTTGCGATGGAGTAATGCTGGTGGCTAAGAATAGATTGAGATATTGACAATATTCTGAGTAATTATCATACAAGTCAAGTCCACCAATGAAATAAAACTCCAGGTCTAGTACATCTAAGAAGTTAACCCAGCGAATCGTTTCAATAAATCCACACTGAGTAATCGAACGATGCTTCAGTTAGCCATCGATGCCCACCCCAATTTGGTTAAAGTTTGTCTCGCTACGCAAGCGACGTCAGAAATGACCACTGTTCACATGTGTTTATACTTCGCCACATTCGGTATTTCGGAGATCCTAAGCACGTATAAGGTGTCTACTTTGTAAGCACCACGTTCAACCAACTCGTCACTAGCAAGGGAATTAAGTATATGGAGCTAGCGCCTTCTCATCCCTCGTCAAATGCTTGGCATAACCAAGGTTCAAACAGTGAAGCGACGCCTGTTGAAACAGTGGGTAGACACCATTCAAACGAAGCTGGATCAGTACCTGTGTGCCTATCTTTCTACACTCAGTAAGAGGATGCGCATATCTTCTGCAGAGCTGTTTGGTAGGAACCTCAGGACTAGGATAAATTTGCTGTTTGATAACCCGTGTGTGGGGACAGAAAAATGGCAGAAGACGTCAGTGTCGTCAGTTAAGCTGAAGAAGGACGCGATTTTTTGTGGAAAAGGACTTAATCCCAACAAAATTTCCACAAAATACCCAAAGACAACCTGCAACTTTTATCTATTCTATAGGAAGCCATAAACAAGTTCTAACTTCCAGCAGGCTGATTTATTCGTCTGAATTCGGATCACGTACTACAATGGAGTCCAGACACAGCGAACAATGCATGGATCGAGTTGTGGGCGGATAATGAACCAGCTAATGAGGACGAACCATACGGACTGGCCAGCGAAACGCTGCCGATGTCATCAATCTGCATTTCCGAACCAGTCGATTGTTTTCAGCGGGGACTATGACGTCATCTAGATGGGGAAGATTCACATGTGACTAAAGGTGTTGCCCTTGTCTACTCAGGTGGATGGATACGCTACATTAACGCACGCACACAAGCTTACACACAGATTGCTCTAACAGCGCTAGTGAAAGGCGGTCGATGCGTTTATACTCCGTTGTTGATTACACCGTTTATATTCGCGCACGTGTTCCCTACGCTAGGGCTAGGTGACGCATAGATAATAAGTTCTCAAAAATTTACTTGGATACCAAGACGAATCAATGATCAGCTGGAAGCGTTTGGAACAATTTTTTATTGCTCATGTTTCCTCCATTGATTGAGTCGTACTTGTTAATCACGCTTCGTGTTTGGTCCGTTTAACCTCTGAATCGCGCTACTCTTGTTCTTTCTTAGCTACTATACTTATAAATGTAGCTACCCATGATAGGTTGATCATGCAACCAACAATGTTTGACACTTTGTTACCGCGTGTCACCTAAACGTGAACATCACATTTGCTCGATCAGGTTCATCGTCAAATATAAACTGTTAGCGGATCATTGGACAAAAGCTAATGCCATGGATCGTGTTTGTTTAAAAAGATAAGTAATCGGTTCGTATGCTGCCATCAGGAATGAAAGGTGTTGGCCTTCTTCGGACAGTAAGTCGAGGCGACTTAGTCTTTCAAACGCCTATGATTTTCCGCACATCTAAATGGGAAGGTGAATCGCATGCCTTGACATTTGCTATGGAGTCACAATTGGATCAACTGGCCATTACGAAATGTTCCGAATGCTTAATGGCACTGTGGGTAATCTGGCAGGGTCAAACTCCATAACATACATCAAAAGAATCTTCGCTAACTTGCACCAGTTAATTTACTGTGTTTAGTTACAGTGTCGCATCAGCAGATCGTCGCCAAAAGCCCACAAAACTCCAGCGCTTTTGACAGTTGATCCACTTGACCGCACAGGGCTTTTCTATCTCACTGTTATCAAAGCACCCACCCGTACAAGGTCAAATATTGTTTTTCTGATTATTCTCGATGTATTCAGTATTGCCAATCAATTGAATTTTAAATTCCTTTCACTCTGCACACAGCTCGTTTCCAAGAGTTAATGGCTGATAATCACTACGAAGAAAACCCACTGGCCTCATTCTTGATAACACCCTCCAATCACCTAGCTGCGAGTTTAATGTACAAATTACTTATAAGTAACGGTTAAAGCTTTGGAGGAAACCTAGGTGATCTGTAATGATGCGTATCCTGTTGAGAGCTGTGCTTTGCTTGGCACTTGCTCTATTCACAAGTGCATCCAGTAAGTCTGACAGCAGCGGTAGCTTTTAGCGGTGTGATATTTATGCTGTTCTTCCAGGTACGTATGATACACTGTACTCCATAACGTAAGAGATTGCTATAGTATTTATCGAAATTAGGCCTCATATTTCAAAATCTTTTCTGTTATGTCCGTTCGTTACTACTTTGTCCACTCTGTCTGCAGCTATGCTGTCCGTCAGACTACTTTCCCTTTCGAACTTAACCATCAATGAAAAATTTGAAGGAATCTTTCCGCAGTACACATGCTCCATGGTACGTTTTAAACTATCCGTAATGCCACTTAACTATAAACTGTTGTATAATGAACTATTTTGTTTGAATTAAAAGGAACTACCCTTTTCCAAAATCGCACCATCTCTACACTGAGAACAGTCCAGATTATTCATTCCATACAAAATGTAAAGGTATTTCCTAAAGTCTTGAAGCGGGGCATACGATAGGTCCATGCATTTTCCTTTATTCAACTCAGCGTTCAGGAATTGTACATAGATTAGCTAGCTGCTAAGTTTCTTGTATAACTTATGCGTGTGTGCACGCTTCCGTATCGTGACAACGCGTTCAACCGACAACAGGTTGTTTGGTGTTACAAGTTTGGCACACTGTAAAATCTATCTATTCTACTCTGAGAACGTGTTATTAGTAAACGCGGTCAGTCGCGCCTCTTGGGTTGCATAAGTAAGTTGTTTGCTTAATGATGCTACTTCATCAAGAATGACATATTGACCTATACTTTGATTTTGTGCACAGCTAAAAGCGCGGGCATTGCTATACTGGAAGGTGAAATTGTTTAGTAACTGCACCAAAGTGGCCGTTCATACGATGGACAAGTTTCCCTGGTATTCATTGCGTATTGCAGTGAACGGAAAAAAGCTTCCCACTTGGTACCGCAGTTTGAGTGAATTTGAACAAATGTGGCTGATTAATGTCATGCTGAACGCAAACACACACGAATGCCGAACCGCAGTGACTAAATGGAAGAAGAATTACATTAAAGGTGAGTACAACAGCATTCACGGATCAGATTAATTATGAAAAAACCATGGTATGGTTGGATTTGGGGCGACTGCAGTTAATTTTAACAGACGAATATTGTTTAGTTTTGTTCAAATATGCACCTTGTAAACAAGGAGAAAGTGCAGATATGTTACATCCACTTATTCACCGTGTGAGTGGGTGCCTTGCTTCTATTAAACTAGAAAATGACGTCAGAATTACTTTCATCTCGCTACATGAATTTAATTTTGTTTTCCATTATTCCCACATCAGATTACAAATTCAGTGAAACTGCATCCGTCAACAAGTGTAAGTTTCTGTCGCAAACATAATTATATATTTCTTGTGACGCTGATATCACTGACTATGCGGGTGACCACAACCTGCACGTTTACAGCGGTGTCATATTAGAAAACCTGAAAATATGGCTGTCATTTAACAGCTTTGCACATAAAACTTCGCTCCTGGTTGCGCATAAGTTGGTAAGATCGGGAGTGACACCTACACTCGTCTCAAGCCTAGTGACAGCACTATTTCGCAACTTTATGGGTCACAGAAAACAAAAAATAACGAGGACCCACTTAAGTTGATTTTCCTAAGGATGAATGCAACCCAGCCCCATCTGGCTTGCCAACTAGTGAGTCTGTAATCTACTGTGAAAAATAGCCAACTCATATAGTCTTGAGGGTTTCCTATTTGTTGATGGTCTGGATGATCTCAGCCTACCTGACAAGCTATAACCGCTATTTGATGTCCATTCCCTGTCTGCTGGTGTTGCACTACACCAGATCGTTGATTACGTACGTGAGCTAGTAGAACATTCTGGTTATCCGCTAACAATTCGGTTTGCATTTCTATAGGATTCCCCAAAATTGCGTAATAAAATTTAACGTTGTTTCCAAACTCGGACTATCATCAAACCAATAGGGTAGTCATGAGCAAATCGCTACGTCCCTTACTCACTGATTACTTTACGTGAATAGAAAGACGCACATCTACAGCGACGGCCAGGCTGCCATGTTACAAGCGCTATGTGAATGATATACAGGAGTTTTTGGGCTGGGGCAGCAAATCGTGCATTGGCTACAGCAGTTGAAAGGTGCATATCCTTACCAGTGTATTAAAACTGAAAAATGTCTGCCATACTTGGACATCTTGATCGATTGCAATGGATTATGGACTCAATAGGAAGTGGACTTTTACCAAAGCAATATGGTCCGGGAAGAATTTGCTCTTTTACAATCTCACCCCAATGCAGTACAGGCAGGCTCATGTAAAGACTGTAGTTAAGCCTTCTAGAATAATATTCTCGGGTGCTTGTTGTGCTGATTTGCTAAAGCTGATTAATGCCACTTTAATGGCAAAGGATAAACCTGGCAGCCTTTTAGGAAACACAGCGAACAGCGGGACCTGAAGGATTTGGTGCACTGCAACTAGACGTATGCAAAGTTGCAAGTCTGTTCAAATAGTACTACTTAACCGAATTCCGATTCCCTGGTGTTTTCAACGAAAGAAGCTCAACGGGTAGGGGCTTGCTTACGTTACATATCCTACTTTGTTTGTGAATGCGAAGCCAGGTAAAAGAGCAGATCTGAAATATCTCCACCTCCTGGAGCTAGCGTGAAAGTGACCAGCAGACACGCCTTCCACAAACACTGTAATCAAGTAGACCGCCAGCGTCCTGGTTATATCAGCATGTATCCCTCAGTGGTGTGCCACCCAGCGGACAGCTGCCGGGTTCAGCCCCCATGACTTCAGGATGCCAGCAGCTAGCGCCACTTCGCCATGGGTGACAGCCGCGGACCTGTGTGATTGACAGTTGATTATGATGTAGCCCGGCTCTGTACAATAAAATATATACGTATAGCTTCCAAGTCGTATGTGGTATATAGGACGTATGTGGTAAGGCCTTGCTCGTGAGGCTAGCCATTGTCCTCTGCACAGTTCTTAACTAGCATCGCGGTGGTGGATGAGCCACACCATTGAGAGGAGACGCACCACTGACGAGACACAGAAGGTCGAAATTTCAGCCTCTGGAGGTTTTTCAGACTAGCCTAAGCCTGCTGATTGGGAGTGACAATAACGAATTAGATGAATTATACCAAAATTTTCACTACTACTCATCTGTACTATAAAATATGTCCGTACAGCTTCCAAATCCTTTGTGGTACATAGGTGCTATGCGAAATGTCCTAGATCGTGAGGCTAGCCATTGTCCTCTGCACATTTCGTAACTGGCATGGCAGTGGAAAATGAGCTGCGCTATATCATAATCAACTGTCAATCACGCAGGTCCGCGGCTGTCCCCATGTCGAAGTGGCATTAGCTACTGTCATCCTGAAGTCATGGGGACGAAACTCGACAGGGGTCCGCTGGGAGGAGCACCATTGACGAGAATCAGGAGGTCGAAACCCCGGCGTCTGGAGCCTTTTCAGACTAGCCTAAGCCTGCTGATTGGGAGTAACCATGATGAATTAGTTGAATTATACAAAAAGCTTCACTACCACTCACCAATACATATCGGTCACGCGGTTCCGAACATAGCTCTGTTCAATGTTGCATTGTGTAAACTTACTTCCCCTTTACTGTCACTTGCAGAAGCCATCGTTATATGCGGTGTGAATCCCGCCGTGGGTATAAAAACCGTTCTTTGGCAGCATTAGGCTCTGATACACACATGAATTGAATCTTCGTCATTCACTCAGCGATTGATGCATGTATAGTCACACCGACAATTAGGGGTACAACCTTAAATCAGTTATGTTTATTAGCATTGAACCGACAATGTAAATTGCAAGAATCAATCATCTTTCGTTCCCTTTACGTGTTTTCCACACTAGACAAGGATATTACTTTTGCTGGTCGAATATGAATTTTAACCCGTTGGTTTTACGAATTTGCTCATCAATTATTTCATGCGAACCTGACAAGGTTTTTAATCAAAATACTAGCGAAAGCAGATGTAGCTCACTGGTACTCCAAAAATCTAGTTACTTGGAGGTAAAGTTTTACCCTCTAGAGCTATCTGTACATTCGTTTCGTCATGTTGAACCACTGTAACAATTCCTACCGTTATGACTTTAAGAAGTCACTTCATGAAACTTGAAGAAATTGGTTTTGTTAAATTAGTACACGTAATAAACAAATAAAATTTATTTTTGACGATACGAAATCCGCGTTTATCGATATAATCGGTTATGTGAGTACTTTTTAGTAGCTTGGTCTAATGTGGACAAGAAAAACGACGTATCAAATATGCTAAATACGAATAGGATGTCAACGAAGAGAGTTTATACAGTTTACCGCAGTGAAATTATTTTCACTGGATTTTAACTGTTGTCTCACATAGAAATATTCTAAACTATGGAAGATAGTATGGCGTTAAAGCATCCAACAGTGGTTAGGAGTCCGAAATCTTGCTCGAAACTTATTCCGGTTGGCAGCATGTTCCAGATTCTGGCCTACCTGTTGAAGAAAACATAGGTTGACATGCTATTCTCGACTTGCATTCTGTTTGTTTCGTACGTTGTAGACCATTGGTTGCATTAATGTCATGTTGAGGTCGGAAACACGTATGTTACTGTGCGATATGTGAAAGAATACAAATAGGTTATACTTCATATACCATAGCCGAAAGGGATCAAGACTAAGCTTATCACATCGTCCTGAATACTCCAGTTTTAAAGATGCACCAAAGAGGCGCTTTGTGCTTGCTGCAGTACTTGTTCCAGTGTAATGCGTACGAGTGCATATGGAATAACTAAACCTAAGTATATTGCACAGTGTACAGCTCTAAATGGTACAGAACGAGTCTTTCAGGTTTAGTTCTCTGTTTCATTTATATCATTACACAGGGACATTGGCATGTGTCAACAGATGATTGTTTTAGGTCCGTATATTTAACAATATGTGTAGTTTTTAGTTGGGTATCGCTGGACACAGAAATGGCGTTGTAAGTGACTTTGCTCTGATTCAGTGTGTTGGTCAGTTCTGTTTGGGGATGACAATTATCATACTGCATTCTAGCATTTGTGCATAGAATAACACAACGAAACATGCGCTGGTCAAGGATGGTAATTTCTGAGTGCATTTCAAATCCGTCAAAAATTCATTATTTTAGTTATTCCAACTTATACAAATGTTGTGGTGAGCTTCGTCCTATCATTACATTAATGGACAGGTTTTCATTTTGTGTGAATTAAAAGATCAAGACGTTCAGATTTGGCAGCAGAACTAAGATCGTGGTGTTTTGACGGAGAGTAGTAATTCACGTTGCTTTTTTCGAATTATACTCCGGCGATGGAAATAATAGAAAACATTGTTTGGTTAAACCATGGTCCAACATGAGCGTGCAAGTTACTAGCAAAACACTACTAATCGTAGGCTTGTATGTACATATCAACTTCGTCCTTATGCTAGTTACTCCCTTTTTATAGATTTCATCCTCGTCGGTCCTCAAAATCCAAGTGCCTGTAAAATGGTAAGTGTCTTTATAAAGTGTAGCTTGTGTTGAGTGTGCTATAACGAAGTGACGTTCTATGCATTTTGATCAAAAATCGCTGTTCTGCTGAGTTTAACTCTGGTATGTTTCAAACTCCTCAATGCAAAGGGTTACACACATTGTTTGTTATTTTCTAAGATGCTCATCTATCTTTTTCAACTTTATCCCAACGCAGTTACTGCGAAAGGAGCAATTTGTTGATGGAAACATTGTAGTTAAAGAATGTTTGGTGCAGAAAACAAGCAAACAACGAGAACCGGAAATAGGGAGATTGGCGCGGTACCGGTTGACTTTGTTAGAGACGCGACCACTTCAAGGCCGAAATCCAGATTATTCCCTCCGTTTTCTTTCTGAGGTGAATAGAAGGAAATGCAATTATAACGGACATTGGCGCTGAATTCGCGTTTAATGACGGAATGCGAGGGAAATATTCAAATAGAATAACAAACGTGCAGCTTTCAATACCTCCATTGGTAATAGAGTTAATCAACCTATTGTTTACATCATTTTCCTAATGATTTTGTCGATACTTGAGGTTACTGTAAAGGATTGTAAACCATAGGTGCCTGTGGCTTTGTCGACTGAAATATAACTTTTTGCATCACAGCTAGGTTACATGCCACAAGGGTTGATTGCTCATCCGGAAAATCTTAAACGACCGTCTCGCCTAATCGGGGCTCATCAGGGGAGTGCATTTCCTCGGTCCCTTTCCATGATTCGAAATCCTGACTACTACCGTTTTGCACAACTAGGCACTAGCTTATACTGGCTGAAACGTAATTTGTTTCTCACATTTTTATTTTATCTTTAGTTTCTGTTGTGTTATAGAATGGCATATGTTATGACATTCCGTATAAATTATTCGCTTAGTACTCCACACCAATATTCGTTTCAGCCACTCATTCACCCGTTCCGGAAGCACATATCAGGGAGACTATGACTGTATAGTGCAAATGCCAAGACGGTGTTCATGAATTCTGTTGTAGTGAAAGGAATCTACGTTAACAATGGGGTCAACAGCAAATAGTTGGAAATAAGTAAAACACCCGGATTGACAGACAAAGTGTAAGCAGTGGGGTCCAGTTTTTTGAATGCTTAACATCGCTGTCAGTACTCGAGGTTTAGAATTCGACAAATGGTGCCACGACACCGTGACAAAATTGATACATAACTGCCAATGTGAGCCATATACACATATGATGCATTATCTCCTACCGACTTTGGTTACTTGCTTGCCTAATCACTTCGGTTACCCATGTGGGTGCATAAAAGAGATCCCTATTTGCGCAGAGCACAAAGTAACGGGATGAAATAGTGGTGCAAGTAAGGCAAACATTACGGCTGGATGATTGTAACGAAACATATAGGCTACCGGATATATGGATCACGCTTCTATGAAGTCACCGTAATATTCACATTAACACGTGTTCATCTACATAGCCCAGTTGTATGGGTTGGGTGAGCAGAATGCTTTGTCCTCAACGGATAAACAAGGGATATTGCACGTGATGTATTGTGGTCCATCGGTTTGCAGATTGTAACGGGATAAGGTGCGCGGACTAAGGATTGATCTCATTAAAGTCATCAGCGGCAGACTCATTCGGTTAGATGAAAAATATTAATGACACTCCAGTAGGCCGTACTGAATAGCGATCTTCAGCCAATTCCTCCGCAGAATAACAAAGGTGTCTATCGTAATTGGAAGGCAGCACATAACGCATGCATCTTCTAGATTTTGTCGCAGTACCGTGTTTCACAAATTATTAGTCAATCTTCAACGTAAAGTCTTGAAGCCAGCCAAACTTCTTCCGCCACCATTGCCAGACCCCAACAGTAGTAGTGGTATAGTTGGTTAGCTGTACTCCGAAACGACGCTTTGCTGCCGTGCGATTAACACCAGTCGCACGCTGGCTGAGTATACCGCGAGGACGCCTAGCCCTTCACTGATTCGAACCCGCGCCGCAAAATTACGAGACAAGCTGGTTAACACTAGGCTCCAATAACGCTGCTCCATTTGTGCCCGGTGTAAAGGGTGTGTGATAACTAATTTATGGAGGGCTCAACTCGCGAAAATACCCTCTTCAATAATTTAGTAAGTTAGTACTTGTTTTAAACACCGGGAATAATTTCATCATCATCAATCATCAATAGATGTTAGCTGAGGGCGAGAAACACACCTCAGCTAATGTGCGGCAATACAAAAATGACGCAGTATAGAACTTAAAAAGGTGAGTAATATAACGTTCAATATCATATCACATATTAGATAGAAGGTAGTGATTGGAGGGGAATCTGAAGGGGAGGGGGATGGACAAAGAAACTCATAACATGAACGCCATTGGGGTCGACTCTTCGCCATAGCAACGAATGTGTGCAACCAATAGTTCACATCGTCTTTGGGCCACCTGCCCGGCAGTTAGGATGCACCAACCGGTGCCAATATCGAAATGAAGGCCTTCTTTCCTCATTAACAAGTTATTGCTTGGCCTCCCCCATCTTCTTTCATCCACACGGCCGACGCGCAACCAACACACTACGCAGGAATCGGTGGGCTAGCCTGCGCAATACTTCGGAGCCCAGTGCGTGATATAATGGTGCTAAGTGGTCCCCTCGCTCTTCCTGCAGCAAATTCGCGACACCGAACAAGTTCCTTGCTCACACTGTGCGCCCAGCAGACATGAGCTAAGTTGCGAAGGCAGCGATGGTGGAATGTAGTTAGCCTCTTTAGGTATGTTTACAAGACGGGATAGATTTCACCGCCGTATAAGAGGACTGAACGGGGATTAGTTCAGAAAGCAAAGTTCCTATCCTACTATCCCCCTTCAATGAACCATCTGAAACCACGCAGTTTCGAATCATATATATTGCAACGAAAAGACGACGTATGAAACCCTGGTGTACTAGGCGCAGACGAGCAATGCTTAACAATTCCCACTAGATGCAAGTCATGGAAAGAATAAAAATTCACGATAAAGAGAGAAGCTTTTGATGGAGTCACCATAGACTTATGCAGAGGAGCGGAGGTGTTCGTGTGATGCAAGCATAATTCAAAAACCTAATGGATGGGATTTTGGAAACACATCACTTGGTTGTGTTTTCTTGACTCCTGATAACACATTATATAAACGGAAATGCCCATTGGACAACACATCGTTTAGTCGTTTTAAACTCTTGTTAGACTTGGACAGAGACAAAATAATTTGAGATAACGCTCCACGGCTGACTCACTTGGATTGTAAAGAAATTACTACAACCTTCTAGCCTGCTAAACTATGTTATCAATTTCAGAGATCACCACTTATGTTAGGGTTGTGGTCCACTTCCAACAGCAAGCCGTAAGCGTGATTTTATTTCTTCCGTATCCGGTAAATCATTACGAAGTCCCCCGCACACACCGATACCGACTGCTGTACCTTCCTAAGGCAGATAACAGATGCCCCTAACGTGCTTTGTTGCCCCGCGTTGAAGAATCTCGAGAGAAATCAGATCCTGTCATGTTAAGATGGCGTATTCCACTTGCAGTTGCATGTTGGCGTCAGGCATTTTTGAAAAGTTTAAGGGGAAAAGCCGACAGGAAGTAATGCGAAAATGGAACAGTGTTGATTACCGGTTATCTACATCTTCTCTGCTTGTTTTAAGCATCCGAGGCCATCCTGGATCAGTAACCCAAGTCAAGCCTGTGAGGAGCCATTTGAAAAGTGTGGTCTCCAAGCTTGTACGCACTCAAATGCCCTTGCAGCAGTTGGATCGCCTTGTAGTTAACTGTGTTCAACAGGATAAATCACTTTGTTGACCATTCATGAATTCGATTCAAATCATGTTAACGTCGATAGTGATCCGCTTTGTTTTTAATTCTGATCAATCAACGGGCAACCTCAACGTTACAATCACAGTACGCGATACTGTGCACCAGAATATTGCTGTGTCATTCGAAATTGTGCACCACAGTTGTATCCCATAAGTAGACATGGTCATCACATGACATAGCTGCCAGAACACTACGTAGTTTGTTTTAATGTAGTCCAAGAGCTTCTCGCAGCCACATTGCAAGCGTTCGTTAGCTCGATCTTTGTTCCACTAAGGCCATAATTAAAAAAACGGATACACTGGAGTCAGGGAAAGTGTGTAGGCGATGCGTTACAATGTTCCGGATAGCCATTGCATTTCAAAATGCATGCCAGTGATACTATATAAATAATACGAGAGATAGCATCTCGAAGCAAACGACTTTAAATTAGTTACAGTTCAAAGGTGACCACCTCAGGAAACTCACCGCAGGAAGGATACCTGTTTCAATGAAAACGTATGCAATACAGCAGGGCTACACTTGCTCCTGCCAAGGAGCCCACTGCTTAACTTTTCAGTGAAGAAACCGGCGTCATCCCATCCCATCACACAAATTCGCATGTGGCTGTGGTGCAGTTATGTCTGGCGCACTGAGCAAAAGTTGTGGGTCGGAATATATGAACACCTTCCAAAGTGGCGCCGCAACTTGAGGAAACGCGCGGCAGTTGTGCCAGCGGAATCGGTGAGCAGGCTTGCGTTAGTAATAACCAGAAGTTTGGGGAACCCTGCTCATAAGGCATACCACGATGCGTCATTCACAGTCCTTATGCATACTCGAGGGTTTCCCCATTTCAAGTTGCTGAAAACCAATTTTCATCAATCGACAACACTCACCACTCTGTGTTCACGTGCTTTGACATCCTTCTTAAATGAAGCTGATAAACATCATCGCAGCGAGGCGGCATGCTCCTGGCACTTTTCTTGTTAATACATGCCTCGTACCTGTTTTTCTACTGTGCTCAAAATCTTGGTCGATAAGAATGGCAGTTTTTCATCCGAACCTATTTCGTATCGCGAGTAATTCAAGGCTGCACATCTGGACTTTTTGTTTAACTTTCACTTTGGGTTACTAACCGCCTGGCAGGCATAGAATTCGGCAGAATTCGCAAACTTTCACAAGAAAACAATGTGAACACATTGAAATTGTTTTCTTAACATAAAATACCAAAGATATCGGCTCCAAGTGAAATCAAAGAATCAAAGTTTGTCTCCTTCGTCACAACCAACTCCACTTAAGCAAACAATTACATGGTAAAGCTAGTCAGGTGTCATTTTACGCGATCGTTTAAATTGTTCTCCCTTAGTCGACATGACTGAGGTCTTGCAAGGGGCTATATCTTCATGGTAGCAAAGAATGCTGTGAAGTTATAAGCTGACACCGTAATTTCTGATCTGTGGTGACAACTAAAGTATAGACTACTTTACCTTTTAATTATCGAGCTAGTGTTTCTTTGTTGGTTCTAACAACATATTTTGGATTGGTGTTTACTCATTTTTAGCGAACACTGCTTCAGACCCCAGGGTACCGTGAATTAAGTTACCGTCATATGCGTCCCCATATTAATAACACCAATAACTGGAGAATGATTGTAAAGAAATGGCATTGATAAGTAAAATAGATTATAGTCAGAAATGAACGAATTCAAAACGCAATTAGCCTTGTGACTGAGCAATGTTTGAGGAACTCTCCAGCGAATTTTGTGTCCAATTAACATGAGTTAGCTTATACTAAGTTACAATGT